TTCCTTACCTAGAATCTAATCTATGAAGTTAATGGGGGTGTAAATCCCTCCGAATCACCATCTGCCGCCTCCCTCCTGCAGGATGCCATTAACATGGTAATGGCTAATTCCAACTGGGGTCTGTTAAGAATTCCCCAGGGCCTTTGCCAAGCGCCCAATGCTTCCCGACCCACTCTGTGCCCTTGGAAAATCGACTTGCTGCAATAGTGTTATAATAAGCCCCCTGTATTTGAGGGTTAGGAAAACATGCTTTAAATGGCCCCGGTCAAAACAGGGAGGGAGGGAGAGAGAGATACAATGATAAAGAAAAAGACAGAGAAAGACAGAACATGAAACAGAGAGAAAGAGAGAGGGAGAGAGCCCAGGAAGGGAAAGGCAAGGAAAGGAAGAAAGAAAAAGCAAGATGGGCAGGCAGGCAGGCAGGCAGGCAGGCAGGCAAGGAGTGACCAGAGTAAATCAGCAGAGCCAGGGAAAGTTTGTATTGATTGAGGACTTGAGGAAATGGATCGAGGAACAGCAAATTAGGAAATGCATAATGCACAGAGAATGTACTCTGTGGAGCGGCCCTAGATCAAAGATCCCACACAAGGGCCTGGAATCCATAAGTTTAATTTAAGTGCCAGAAAACGTTTCAGAGAAGCGGCAGAAAAGCCTGCAAAGATTTTTTTTTTTTTTTTTTTTTTAGGATCCCGTTTACCCCCAGAGAGATCGGCAAGGTGTTATCCGAAGCACGGGGCAGGATTTCCTTCTAGATTCCTGATTTGCCAGAAGGTTATTCTTTGGTCAAACAACACCCAGTGTGAAGAGAAAATAGGAGGGGAGAGCTACTGCTGCTGGGGAAAGAAAAGTGGGTTGAAGTTCTTGAAAAAGAGCCCCAGCCGAGAAAAAACACTGAGTGACTGGTTGTTACAGGGAACTGATGGCTTTTGATATTTGAGGTTCAAAGTAAAAAATTAAGAAATAAACACAAAACAACTATCACGAGGAAGAGAGTAGCTGGCTTTTGCTTGTTTGTTTTGCATTGGCACATCGCCTTGGGGACCTGGAGTGGTAGGAGGCGCTGACCCCAAGTGTCTCTGTGTTTCTCCTACACTGTCAGTAGGTCTGCTCTGCTGAACAGCTCATCTGTGTTGCAAACAGGAGATTTTGCAGACGATGATAGGCCTCCAAAACTCCAGGTCGTATTTACACGGAGTCTTTATTTCCAGGTACCTTTGTTTGCATATAGTTTGGTAAAAATAATGACAGAGTAGTGCTGTGGTGTGTTGGCTGGGTTTTCCCCCAGGACATCCCCGTAGCTTCCAAACTATCAAGGGAAGGATGAGTAAGAGACTTCCTCGGGTTGTGCAAACAGCGGGGTGTGGCACTTTATGTTTCTTAGCGAGGGGTGCTGAGTCATAGCACGTTTTTCTAGCCTATGAGTTTCCTACTGCTGTTACAAATACCATAGTCTTAGTGGCTCCACACAACACAGATTTATTCTCTTGCGGTTCTGGAGGTCAAGAGCCAAAAATAGATCCATAGGGCTGCATTCCTTCTGGAGGCTGTAGGAGACCATTGGTTTCTTTACGCTTCCCAACTTCTAGACGTGGTTCACATTCCTTGGCTCATGGCCCCTTCTTTCCTCCCTGAGCTCTGCTTCTATTCTTATACGCCCCCTACCCTGCAAGGACCCTCGTGATTTTATCGGGCCTATATGAATAATCCAGGATAAATATCCCCGTGTTAAAAGTCAAGATCCTTAACTTCTTCATCACATCTACAAAATCCCTTTTGCCATGTAGGGTAAGATAGTCAGAGGTTCAGAAGTTTGGGGTGTGGAACATCTTTGAGGTCATGATTCAGCTCACCATGTGCAGTCTTGACGCAGGAGCAGCATCGTAAAATGTAAGGCATGTGAACATATTTGCCAATTAAAACCATATATATGTATTAATGTTCCATATACTTGATGCAAAAATATCTATCTTCTTTAGCACTTATTATAGCTGTTTTATTGTCATCTGGACCTTGGTTCTCAGCTGAAAGGCAAGTAACATGTAGTTCAGAAAACAGTTGTTAAATCCTATGCTTTCCTGATTTGTTTTTTTTTTTAAGATTTATTTATTTATTCATGAGAGACACACAGAGAGAGAAGCAGAGACACAGGCAGAGGGAGAAGCAGGCTCCCTGTGGGGAGCCCGACGTGGGACTTGATCCCAGGACCCCGGGATCACGAACCGAGCCGAAGGCAGGAGCTCAACCACTGAGCCACCGAGGCATCCCTGTTTCCTAATTTCTTAACCTGCAATTTATTAGCCAAGAAATCCTTTTCAGTTCATGTGCCTAGAAGGAAGAATGGTGGCGGCATCCCCAGTTTTTCCCTATTGACCTGCAGATACCCAAATATTGACATGCATTTTGATAGTGACGTACAGAATTTTGCATAATAGCAATAAAAATTAAGTGGTCACCTATTTTGCTTGGAACTGGATTGGATGTTTCCCACCCATATCTCATTTACTACTTACCAGAGCTTCCTGAAGGCTGTATGACTACATTGATTTTACATGTGGGGCAACTAAGAATCAGAAAGAGTAAGTAACTTGCTCAAGATGAAAAAAACTAGTTAGTTGCACTCTCGAGAGACGTGGTAAATGTGAGGAACTTCCCATTCCCAACACACACACATACACACACACCACAGATTCCTGAGTTCTTTCATTTGGCTGACACATTTGTAGATATTTAAGTGATGTGAGTTTCCCTCATTTTATTTTTTTAGAGGCATGTGCAAGATCAGTTCGGAATGAGAGCTAACCAGTGGAATTTTGAAAATATGATGCATCTGAACATGAAATACTTGAAACCTAGTTCATCTTCATCACTCTCCCCTTTATTTCATTTCATTTTCAAGTTGGCTCAGTTCTTATAGCTGAAATGGCTTAATGGTCATTCCTGGTGTGTACATTTGTTACTAAATTTATTTCCTCAGTTATTCTTCACAGATGGTGGTGACCTCCCCTCATTGCCTTTCCCTTTTCAACCTACTGAGAAAAGCGCTCTCTCGGAACATCACGCCACTGGCCCATATTAAACATATTGATTTGAAAGAAATAGCTGGAAGGTCACAGCAGTTGGGTGACAGTGAGCCGTGTGGTGAGTGGGGGCTCTGCTGGTTAGCATCAGGGCTGGGTTTGTGGTCTTAGGTCTTATTCAACTCAAGTCCCAGGAGTCATCAGTAACAATGATGAGGCTAAAGTGGCCTCAAAGCACTGGGAGCACAAAGGGGTAGGACCCATGGAATGAGTGGTTTCAAAGCCCCAGGGAAACGAACTGATAATCCCTAAGGGAGTGCTCCCATGGAGGGCGATTCTGAGAGAAGTTTCCAGGCTTCCAGTTCAGATAGGCTGCCCGGGGAGGAGGGGAAGAGGCTTGAGGTGGAAGGAGGAGAGGTGGAGGAGGAGTGCTGGTTTAAAGGAAAATGCTCTTAGGTGTTGGATCAGCATTCCAAGTGCATCATAAATGGGCTTGTCTGTTCATCGGTGTCCTCCTGACTGCACGGTCCCCCAAGTGCACTGTCGTGTGACCTTCAGTGTATTTGTACATTATCTCTAATTTCATTTAAAATACAACCATATGTGGGCTAAGAGGGTCTACACATCATCCCCTACTCACTTTCAGAGACCAGCTCTTAGTCCAGGTCACCATGCGAACTGAGGCCATATGATGTCTGAGTCCAACTTTCCTACTTAGCTTTCTCTGAAGATTAGGCCAAAATCTTGAAATGAATCCTCAAATACTAATTTATATTCTTGTTCATCCAGTACAAAAACCAGAGGACACAAAATGTCCTCCTAGGTCCTTCCCTGACATTGTAGAGAAAAGAGTACTGGACTTGGGAGTCGAGTTATGTGGGTCCAACACATGATATTCTACTTCCTAGTTATGGAACATTCCTGAACCTCCATGTTCTGATCATTAAAATGGTGAAAATAATAACTACCAGGAAGCATTGTTATGAAAATCAAATTGGTGTCAAGGCTCTTGATAAAGGATTTAGTGAAATACAGATATAAATATTTATTGTTACTTCAGGAAGTAACCAGTCAGTTTTGGGGACCTACAACATTTAAATTAGTGTGGAGAGAGTCCCTAAGATGACAAAGCAACAGGTACATAGGGAACAATAAAAAACCCTCAGAGGTATCCCACAAATTGCAGATAAAAAGACTGAGGCACTAAATTTTACCAGGTCCAACATATCATGGATGACAACACTGGTTCTAGGAGCCAGGTCTTCTGATTCCCAGTAGAATGCTTGCTCCGTGATAAGACAGTTTCAAAAGATTAACAAAAAGTGCCTTAAACTATCCTCTTCATCTACCTACTGATGGCCATCTGTACCACGTGGCCTTTTTTTTTTTAAGATTTTATTTATTTATTCATGACAGACCCAGAGAGAGAGAGAGAGAGACAGAGAGACAGAGAGAGAGAGAGAGACAGAGACACAGGCAGAGGGAGAAGCAGGCTCCCTACAGGGAGCCTGACATGAGACTCGATCCCAGGACTCCAGGATCAGGCCCTGGGCCAAAGGCAGGTGCCAAACCACTGAGCCACCGAGGAGTCCCCCCACGTGGCTTTTCTAATTGATATGGTGCATGTCTCATCCCTCCCCATCATTCACAACCTCACAGCCCTGTAGACTGTGAATTCTTTAAGTAGCGTGTCTACTGTAACATGGCCTCCCCCTTAGACAACTTCAACACATTTCCACAGTTAAAGCTGGAATTCAAAAAGAATGTGATCGATGAACTAATCTATTGGTTCCCATTTCTTAGGAATGCATTATGAATGTGTATAACCCTTTAGCTCTCCTCTTTTTCCAAAGCTTTACCTTACGTAGAGTGAACAGTTATTTATTAAAGGGTTCACTTATATGACAATCTGGGGATATATTAAGAGGATACCTGTTCCTTTGTCATCTTAGGGACTGTCTCCGCACTAATTACTTTTTTTTTTTTAATGTGGAACGCTTCACAAATCTGTGTGTTATCCTTGCACAGGGGCCACGCTAATCTCTGTATTGTTCCAATTTTAGTGTATGTGTTGCTGAAGCGAGCACCACACTCATTACTTTTAATGTTATAGGTCCCTTCATTTAATGAGGCCTTGGAGGACCAGCAGGGCTTTCACTATGAAAATTGACAGGTGAGAGTGGCCCATCACATGCAGATGGGAGAGCTGCCTGGCTGGGAAGAGCAAGTGGAGCAGCTGGGTTTTTATTAGGGCATTCTGGAAGGTAAGGAAAATGAACACAATAATTCAAAGTGCATTCCATCAAGTAGTCTGGATGGGTGAACCACAGCTAAAATACTTTTGCTTATTACAATTTGTTATTAAAGCCTTTTAGAAAATGTATATTATGACTGTGATAGACTGCTACAAATAGATAGCCACAAGTTTTGAGTGCCTGATATTTTGTCCATCTTCCTTTTTCTAGTTCCTTTGAGAATCTGCTCCTCTCTTCTATATGTCCCTCACAGGGTAGGAAATATAAGCCAAGTTTGACCAATCATGGTCCATTACACTAGACATGGCAGTTGTTGGTTTCAAGATGAGCATGGGGACCATACCACATCAGTCAGAGTCATTTTCAAACAGAGATCTTTGGGAAGATCAATGTTTGCCCTTGAGTTTGCTAGAACAGGAGGATGTAAATCTTGACTGGCACTTAGAGGGTGACAGAGATTCTCTCCTGACCAAATTAGTTAGGCTCCCCTGAGCCCTCTTCTTGACTAAGCCCCAACCTTGGCCTTCTGTGTCCATCCTGTCCTTGCTCGGCCTGCATAGCCCAGGTTTAGCAAGAATCTTGATAAGACAGTTTATGGAGAATCCTTGCCCCCATCCCTGCCTCCACTTGATGTCTCATCGAATTCCTCATCCACCATGTTGATATCTAAGTCCTTGGCCTGCCTTTAGCAAGAATCCCTCTACCCTTGATGTCGTCTCTGAGTAGTTTAAATTCACTGCCCCCTCCCAGCCCCCGCCCCTTACTCTTTGGCTCTTTCCCCAACGTCCTTTTCCTTGGAATTGAGCCCAATCTCTCTCTCCGATTACAATAGTGTTGACCCCCTTGCATTCTAACACTTTAACAAGTGTCGGAATCATTCTTTTCTTTAACAGGGGCTAACAGAATTCATCAGAGCTGAGAGATGGAGAGGCAAAGCCCTGACCACACTTGAGACTGAGTGCCTGTAAGCCAGATACACCCATGGACCTTCCAGTTATGTGAGCTAGTTATCTCCTTTTTACTTAACTGTGATGGTGTTAGGATTCTCTCACTTGCCATGCAAAAGGCTCCAATAAATGCAGCAAGTCCTCATTGCTTTGAGGAAACCTGACATAGACTACCTGCGTAGAGTGGTATTAAAGCCAAAATCTAAGACAGCCCAGATTTTCCCCTGCCTCCTCTCCCAGTGGCAATGGGAATGACAGTAGGTATTTCTTGCAGGTAGTCTTTCAAAAATTAACGTTTTTAAAACATCTGTTGCAAGGCAGACACTACACTAGTTTTATATATCCTATTCTATTTAATTTTGCCTTATTATACCTAATACTCAAATCAGGCCACTGCCCATGTGTTTTAATGAACCTTGGAATGTCTACCACCAAATCACATGTTCTTTCTTCCACACCTCTCTAGATGCACTTTGATAGGGATCTTTTTCCTTGACAAAGAACATTGTTTCTTTTTGGTTCTACTTCATAAAAATTGTGAAAATTTGCCAACCATTTCCCATTGTTCATTGGTTAGTTTCTTTATACTCAAGTAAAAGTGCTGGAAAAGAATGAAACAATCTTAAATTTACCATACTTAGTTTCTGTCCTTTCTTTAGATATAGTATATTTGCGTAATAGTGTGATGGGAAGCCTCAGTGGACCCAGACACTAAACACTCCCTGGAAAACTCTATGAGGCCACTAGGCTTTTTACTGCTTCAGGGTAGTGGTGTAGAAGCAGCACCCCCGCCCCCCAGGTATAGACATTTGCACAGCTCAAGGACAGCGCTTCACAGCTGTCCCGTGAAAGCACTTTGACTAACTTTCAAACTGGATAAACAAGGTTTCTGTTTCAGGGTTTTGGGTTTTTCATTTGTTTGTTTTTGTTTTTTTGACCAAAAGTCTTTTTGACTCAGCTGGGGAGGAGACAACAACCATTGTGATACCTTCCTGAAACCCCCTGAATCCTAAAAGCAGTAAGTTTCACAATAGAATATCAAAATTATGTTCCCAATCTTAAACCAGAAAGAAGTTACTTTTAATCTAGCTGGGTTTCTAAAAAAAAAAATGAGTATCTAATTCATTCTCCTTTGAGCCAACATGGATTTAAAAATAGTTCTTTCATGATTTTTCTCTAGGAGAAAAAAAATCATACATATTACCTCATGAGAAAGCTATATTCTTCTTGTTTTCATAAGTAATATCTACACAAAAAAACATAATCTGCCATTGTTGTTAGCATTGCTAGATAGTTTGACCTGGGGCTGTGAGCGAAACATTGTTCAGATGACAGCATAGCTTGTCAATATTTTTTAATGTTTTAATGTTATAGGTCCCCTCATTTAATGAGGCCTTGGAGGACCAGCAGGGCTTTCACTATGAGAACTGACAGGTGAGAGTGGCCCATCACATGCAGATGGGAGAGCTGCCTTGGCTGGGAAGAGCAAGCGGAGCAGCTGGGTTTTTATTAGGGCATTCTGGAAGGTAAGGAAAATGAACACAATAATTCAAAGTGCATTCCATCAAGTAGTCTGGATGGGTGAACCACAGCTAAAATATTTTCCTCTTCCTCCTCCTTGGAGGTCTTCTAGTTTATTCCAGAAGGGCTGAACACAGCATTTAGCATGGTGCCTTACATGTATTACTCACTCAATAAATGAACAAGGGAGACTCCAGTAAATTGTGGGTTCAGATAGAGAAAAAGTAACAGAGAGATACATCAGAAAGACTTACATTGTGATTGCAATCCCAAGGTATAATTTTAAGCGCACAGTATCACAAGATCTGGCAACATTAACTCATCTGTGGCACTGAGTGGGCTGTTATTTACAACTGTTTCTGGTTTCTTGAAAAACAAAGCAAAACAAATCAAATCAAAACAATCCTCACCCATAGCAGGCTTTTGCAATCATAAATATTTTCCAATAATAATGTGCTGTTAATGTTGCGAATTAGAAATGTAATATTCAAAATGGTTTACCTCTCTCTCTTTCCTTCTCCTTCCCCTCTATCCCATTGCATCCTTTGCAAAATCAAAAAGTATAAAAGCATATTTCAAGCATGTTTCAGTATGCGTCGATTCTGGGGCTAAACCAAGGGTCTATTAGTCACTCCAATGTGCATTTCTAACATGAAACAAGAACCAAATCCCCCTTCCCTTTTAAAAAAAATAGATTTAATTTTTTAGAGCAGTTTTAGGTTCACAGCGAAATTGGGTGGAAAGTACAGAGATTTCCCATATCTCCCTGCTTCCACACGTGCATGGCCTCCCTTATTGTCAACACCGCTCCCTCCACCAGAGTGGGACATTTGTTACAATTGATGAATCTACACTGACACATCATTATCACCCAGAGTCCGTAGTTTACATTAGGGTTCACACTTGGTGTTGTACATGCTATGATTTTGACAAATATATAATGACATGTACCCACCTTTATAATAACATACAGACTAGTTTCCTTGCCCTAAAGATCTCCTGTGCTCCAACTCCCTCTTCCACTAGCCCCCAGAAACCACTGATCTTTTTACTGTCTCCCTAGTTTTGCCTTTTCAGGAAGGTCTTATAGTTAAATTCCCCTTTAAAGTACCTCAGAGTTGTCAATAATAAATACAATTGTTTTATGAGTACATACAAAATCAAAAATCATTTCTACTTCTCTCCTTGCTAAAAGTTGCAATCATATTGGAGGGGTTAACCACATTTTGGGGGAGGGGCATTAAGTCTTAAACTCTCATCTCTGCTTCCAAAATTGAGACCAAATTGGTTTAGAAAAGAATGTCTAGTTTAGGAGTGTAAGATTTCTTAATTAGGGAAAAATCAATCAATGTTATTATTATTATTATTTTAATCAATGTTATTAAATAAGAGGTTGAAGGAGAAATATTATATAATCATGTCAATAGGTGCATAAAAGCCTTTTAAATAAAATTTAGTATTTGTAGTAAAAAATCTTGGTAAGCAAGGATTAGAACAAAATTTCCTTAATGTTTTGTAAAGAATATTCATAAAGAGATTATAGTAATTTCACACATGATGCTATGTTAAATATATTCCTTTTAAAATCACTTGTAAGAAAGTTTCTTGCTATCAGTAGTTCTATTTATCATGTATTAGAGATACTAGCCAGCAAAATTATCATAGAAATTTAAAGGGAAGAAAAAGAACTATTATTCACAGATAATATGATTATCTATGTAGAAAACTACAGATCATTGTGGATAAACGTTTGGAATTGCTGAATACAAAATAAACACACAGGGGCACCTGGCTGGCTCACTTGATACAGCATGTGACTCGCGATCTCAGGATTGTAAGTTTGAGCCCCACGTTGAGCATACTGATTACTTAAAAATTAAAAAAAAATTAAAAGAAATAAGCACACAGAATCAGCTGTCTCATTTCACCAGTAACAAACAGAAAAAGAAAGAAAAGAAAATATTACAACAGCATCAAAATCTTAAAATATTTAGGAATAATTTCCTCTGAATTTTTGGAAATGATCACAAAGATTTATTGAATGTCACTGAAGATTACTAAAATGGAAAGTCATACCATATTCATAGAAATGAACACATGTATTAGTTATCCCTTGCTCCACACCCAATTACCCTACGTTTTGTGGTGCCAAGCGATAAACATTTGTATCTCACAGTTCCTGTAGGTCAGGTTTTCAGGAGCAGCTTAGCTGGGTGGTTCCAGCTTGAGGGCTTTGTGAGGTTGCAATCAAGAAGTCAGCTGGGGACGCAGTGATCTGAGAGCTTGACTGGGGCTGGAGGACCCACCTCCAAGCTCACTCACACGGCAGTTGGCTGGAGGCCTCTGTTCTTCACTGCATGGATT